TAATGAGAAAATGAAATATACTTATTTCATTAAATTACGGAATTATAGAAAGTTGTCAACGTGGTGGGATATCGTATCTATACATCTTTAATAATTGTTATAATTTGCCAAAAACTACTATTAGAATTTGTAAACATTGAACTGGCTCCGAATCTTGTCTAAATATGAAGCCACTTCCTGTTGAAGACCTGCGTTATCGGGAATATTTGTAAAACGGTATTTGGTTCCTGGAAGTCTTTGAGTAAGATTTTGGTTCAATATTCCGAAAGATGTAAAAAGATTAATAATAGCTTAATATAGAACTTGAAATGCTATCGCATAGCTTAAAGTAAGATAGCTTTATATCGAAATGCATCCTGTACCTAGATAGCTTTGTTAACTGGAAGGTTTGTTTGGTTTAACGTTCTGCTCAACTTGACAGCCAGATACGATATGCCGAAGTGCTAGTGCGACGCTGTATTTATACTTGACGGTGAAATACATGCGCGACTCACAGAACTGAAAATCTACTATAACTTCGAAATGCTAACGAAAACTCTGGCTCATGTCACGAAATGGCGTTATAAATCCATAAAATCGCGAAAGTTTGCCTTTATTTCCAAAAGATAAGTGACATATTAAATATAAACCTTAAAATTCCATACTCGTAGCCTTATCACCTACGTTTCTATCTGACGTCATTGAAATCACAAAATAGTTCCTTAACGGCGCTTCACAAAAACGTACTTAACGTAACAATATCATATTATTCAGTATCATAAACAATAAAAGGAAGACCAGCAAGTAATTTGATTATATCTTAATTATTCTTTTATGCATTATTATAACTTTATAAAGAAAAACCGTTATACCCGGAAGTGATCAATCATTGGAATGGCAACTTCTAGTACGTAAACAAGCACTCGCCACGATGGAATTTAAAGGGAAAACTACCCCAACGATGTGTCAAATAACATTCAGAATGAATGAATAGGTAACAACAAACAGGTTTTATAAACCCATTACCCCCTGAAAATGTGATTTAATGTAGACCCGTGAAAATCGTGATCGAAGTGCCTGTTCACTGACAGTTGAATTTTACCGCTATGTCAACTTGATAATTTGATAGACGTTATGTTAAATGTTATGTTATCTGATAAAAGTGGTACAAGTTATGAAAGTATGCAATTTGATCTCCCCAAATTGAGTTTGCCAAAGTTGTCTTAGTGTATAAAAATCATCTAAGACCGTTATTTTTCAGGTTTTCAGATATTGATCTCAATAAAATTTTGGAATATAAAATATGTTGTTTCTTTGTGATAATTATCAATACCCATTTATAACAGTATTTTGCTATACACGGATATATGTAGGGGTGGCCAGCTGTCTGAACGTGACTCTGCGTTTTTCTTGAAATTTTAGCTTTGACCTTTGACCCAATTGACCACTTTAGACATCGACGACATCAATATTTCGATGAGGCTTGTTTTCCTCTTTCCAATGATATAAACTACAGCCGTGTGTTATTCCGTTAACCCAAATCGATCAAATTGGTTGACTGGGCACCCTGCTGTTAGTTAACATGGTAGATATTGTTAATTGGGTCCTTATAAGAGTTACTACCATTGAAGGATATGATTTACCCTTTTTTCATTACTTTGGGAGAATTATAGGCAATAGTAACCAGAAAATAAAAGCAAAAATAATCAGCAAAATGAAATCGAAAAATCAGTCAACATGACGGAAATAATCAAAACGTTCACTGACTCCTTATAAGAGTTATTGCTCTTTCAACCTGAGTAGCACCCATTTTTTGCATTCTTTACAGAAATTGTAAAATTAAGTAGCAATTTTGACCCAATATTTTTTTATTAATTTCTACTTACAATCATAAACAAAGATAGTTACATAGAAACTTGGTTCAACCCAAATGATCAGCAAAACAGCTTTTAGTAAACATAGTTTCCATGCAACACCAACAATCGTGTTGCATTGTATCAATTCATTTTTGGCAAAAAGAAAAAACAGGTGAGCGATACAGGCTCCTAAGAGCCTCCTGTTTAATAATCCCGCCACAAATTTATTTGCCTGTCCTAATTCATCATGAAAGTATGCTGTTTTAATTTTTAATATTCAGATCCGATTTAATAATAGTTAATTAATACAAATAAAAAGTATGTATGCAGTTGCAATCTTTTTTTTTTCTTCCAGGTGCTGCTCATGAAGTTTGTAATCAATAACCACCAACTAAGTATGTCTACTATCTTCTTCTTGACTCCAAAGGAGATACCTGTTGAATGTTTTTATCCCGACGAATGCGCCGTGCACAATAAATCCGACCCCCCTCCCAAGAGTTTTCTTATAAGTATTCAATGGTATGATATAGTGTGTAGAAATATGTTTGTATATTTACGACCTTTAATGTGTCATATGACTTAAAATGTTTACAAAATATGACTCAAATAGATAATATTAAATTACAATATTATAACTTGAAAGGCGTTTGATATGATGTGATCTGAAATAAGAAGACACCATATTATGTTGCTAATAGACGAATCAAATAAAATATAGCGTCAAGTTTTGGTGAAAGAAAAAATTCCAAATACTTGGAATCTACATTCAACATTGTTTCTTGGAATTTTCTCTTACTTTATCAAAACATGTTTTTACCATTAGAATAATAATAGGTATTTGCTGAGATATAAAATGTTAGATACAATGTGGGTTAGAGCAATAGCACCTTTAGATAAGATGTTAGTTAGAAAAAACTTGAAGTGTAGCCCATCAGTATCAAATAAATACAAAATCTAAAACACGATAAAAAGGTCGAAAAACGTTTTTTTAAGTGGATTTAGTTATTAGTTATTATTAATCAATATGCATACCTCACACTAGTTCATATCATTAGGCATATAATGAAATTATGCATAGTTAAGAAGTATGTTCGCTATAAATCCTAGGGAGAAGGTATGATAATGCAATAATTTTTCACTTTAAATTTGGACATCAAAAAACTGACATTGGCTTAGGCCTTACGCAAAAGGATATTTTACTACAAGAAATCTTTAACAATGATGTTAATGTAGGTAAAATATAATTTTGTATGGCATTGGAATGTTTATAAAATCGATCACAGTGACAACACACCTGACATTTCTGCACTGAAATTTCTAGATCATATTGTAATTATCAATAAGTTTAACATAAATTTGAAAGAATTAGAGGATTTAATTTGTTTCCTAATTTCAGGGGCCATATAATGGCTCTTTAGATACCTCCTCCGTTGGAAATCCATCAACAATTTGAAATTTTGTAACGAATGAGGACTTTTAAGGTTTGAAATATATTCAGTTTGAATTTGCTTGTTTAACATGATACTTTTATTATATTTTAGTGATTAAAATTGTTGCAAATGAAATTTTCAATTTTTTTCTTACATCAACTTATCATAGATACCGGGATTAAAATTGTGTACGACAGGCGCACGTTTCGATCGTCGACAGAAGACTCATCAGTGACACTCGAATAGAAAAAGTAAAAAAGGCCAAATACCAAATAAAGTACGACGTTGAATAGCATTGAGGACCATAAATGTTTTGCCAAATACAGGTAAGATAATATATTCCTGGTGTAGGAAAGCCTTAGTATTTCGATAAAAATGTTTTGTAAACAGCTTATATTTATAATTATTACCACATCAATGATAATTCATACATTTATCAACAACAACAAAGGTGTGCAACATGTTCGTTTTTAATTACATTTGAAAAATGTTTATTTCGAAAATACTCATTTATCCCATGATACTTTCCCTGACACTCTGACTACCCTTCCACATTTATTTGCCACATAAATTTTACTTTTGGTTCGTCGTTGTGTTACTGGTAACAAGATATGTCAATTTCTTGCTTCATGTTTGTATTCAACACTAATAATTAGCAATTGTGCTCCATACGTGTGGGGTTACTTTGGACTTTTGAGTTGAGATGCTCATTGCTGTGCTTTTTATGGCACTTACGAACTTTTACATAAAACTAAAGTTTTCCAAAATTTAAGAATTACAATTTGTGCCATATGCAGGCAATTTATAATTTGGTCACATGTTCAGAAAGACGCCATGATAAACAGATGGAATGAAATAGCAATGAGATAGTTTTGGGATGACAAAAAAGGATAAATTATTAAAAATGGAGATTTCTTTTCCTTCGGTTCAATTTAATACTTATAGATCTAAAATTCCTTCGTTTTAAAGAGCACACAATGTTATATAGATAAGCTTTTCTAAAATTTTGTTTTATATAAGAATATATTTTCTTTAATAACCACAAAACTTTATCAATGAATTTTAAAATTACGACCGTTTCACCATCAGATGCTTACTTTTTTAATGATGAATGTATTGGATTTTTTTCAAAAACTTCCTTCGCTTTTTATATTAACACTCATTGTTTCTTAAAAAAACATTGATTTAAAGGTCTCGTATAAAAATTAGATTAAATATTTTTGACCATCACCTTTGTCCCTTTTCAATTCTTTTTTTGTTGTTGTTTTTTTTATATATGTACCATTATATAACGTTTACAACATTGACAATATATAACAACTTAAAATGCTTCTATAGTTCTAGTCTCCTGTTTTCATTTATAACCATTAAACAAACAACAGTACTCGTGATTTTTTACATTTGCTCTTTCATATGAAAATTGCCTCGGGGAATTGTACACTTCGTTAGGGCAGTCTTTGAGAGTTCACTTTCATAATTAATCTACAATGAAAAGTCATTCATGTATAACATTTTATTGTGCATGGAAAGCCATATGTACTATGAAAAATATAAAGGAAATACAGATTTTCCATTGGACGAGAACGGTGAGTATGTTCTAAAGAAGGAAAATAATAGTTTTTACATTTATCCTTGTGAACAAATTACACGACTGACCGAGTTCCTAATATAAATCGTATTTACGTTCTTCTTATAAATTAATCCTAATGGATATTTTTAAATGGCCTTGCTGGTTCGAAGTAAACCGGAGTCATCATATCATTCGATTATTATTTATCCTAATTATCTTTTGTCCATTATTCTTGGCATCAACCTGTTTGATTCCACGAATTTTATTTTTGGATATGATATATAAAGTTGAAAACGATGTAATAACTATGCACATATAACTGATTGATTTAATGAAGTTATTATTTTCATGAAGGTAAGCTATATACGGTCTTAAAACTGCTAAAGTGAAAGCAACGTTTCTATTTCGAATTTTGAAAGGTATTACAATTCTACATGATGATTTAATCCTTTTTGTTGCGCACATTTTCATAAATAGATAGAAATTTTAGATGTTGTACACGTTACTAAAAATTCATTTTTTGGGGTTTTCATTATCTTTCCTGATGTATGACAGTTTCTTCAAGCGAATGAATTATTGGCTGCCTTAACATATGCTAATATTTGCTTTTTTGTTATTCTAAAATGCAAAAAGATAGGGCCAATTGCTTTGAATTAATTTAACTCAATGAGTCAAAATGCAATTTTTCAAATTGGAATTTGAATATCAAAGAGTCTCAGTTATACACATTAAAGATTTGTCAACAATTTAACCCATTTTAATAAAATCGCGATGTTATTCAGGGCTATACATCATTGTTGAAAACAGTTTGCAGACATTATCGCAAGCTTTATATATGTATGCCCCAGTTAATAACCAACACATTGGAGTTCTCAACCAAATTTCATATGAACAGTCAAATATGAAATAAAAACAAAACAGTATTACCATTATATGCATGTAAGTGTTGTCAAAAGGTTAGTAATTGAATAAAGCATTGCTAATTTTATAGGATGGACACACGGAAGTTATTTCTGAATTTAATATTAACCCATGGAAATAAAGTAACCGATGTAGAAGAGTCAATTAAAGAACTACAGAAATATGAGAATGACAACAACCTTAACAAATTTAAGGAAACGCTATCAAAATTAAGCCAGAAGGAACCAGGTCTGGCATTGGATACATTTGGTCTTATTCGTGGCTGTAGATTTGAAGGTACTTGTAATATGGTTAAGGTACCATGTTCATGATTCTGTAATTGACCCTGTAATGAGATATATATTCGAACGATTTGTTGTGCTCTTAGGAGGAACATACATTTTTCATTGACAAGGAAAAGCTATCGGAAAGAACAAAATGTATCTGTGTGGAATGTGTGTATTCTTCAAGTTATTTCAAATCTTTTTTAATAACAGTTAATCTTTTGTAAGCAGATCAGCCAAATCCGTCAAAATGTCTTAAATGCTCCACAATAAAATAAGCGCTTCCCGGCTTTTCGTGCAAATTTACATTTCTCATGTAATTGCGGATCAAACCCTTTATTCTTGTAAATCATAGTTCCCCATTGCAAGTTCGCTATCTCTTTTCGTCTGAGTAATTGTTTCTTGTGTAAAGAACTCTGTTAGTCAGAACCTGCATTTATGCAAGGCACATTTGTATTTTGTTTGATTTGATGGTCTTAAACAGTAACAGTTTACTGTAGATATGATATATTATCGAACAAACTTGTACAAGGCAGTTACTGTTGAAGATAACCCCATAGAGTTGAATGAAACATGTCAGCAATAGTCTATTACGAATCATTTATCAACATGTTTGTTAAAATCTATTTCATAGATTATCAATACTCTAGTTTGGACTTGTCAAGTAATCAACACCGAGAATAGTTATAAAATTATTTATTGCGTTTCATTCACTTAATACCATATCAAATATTTAGATGGATGTCATCGACAACAAACAGTTAGAGATAATGATGTGGAAAAGACGAACGCTTCCAAACCTGCAGCAACAACAGGTATTTGCATTCATTTGATAGACGGAGATTCAAAAGATGTTCAGTCATGGATTACTGTAAACCAACTTATTTTCGCGAGCGATTTATTAGAAAAATAACGCGAATATAAATCGTCGCGAATATGTAAAACTTGGATCTTTCCTTATCAAACTACATTAAGTAATGATTAGAAAATCGCGAAAATAAGTTGGTTTACAGTATAAGATGTGCTCAGCCTCGCAGAACTGATTTGAGGATTTTGGCAACGACTTTAAGCAAAGTTCAACAAGTCTCAGATTAATGTAAAAATATAGCTTCTTCTTTTCAATCGTTCACAAAAGGAATTCGATGTTACCTATGCAAATACAAATGTCGTTAGGAGATAAAAATCATCATTCCATATATATAACATGATCAAATATCTAAGTTTATTCAAAAGTCCACTATTTTCTTCAAGTTGTAAACAATTCAAAAGAAGATGTATTTTGCTTTCATCTAAGACTTGTTGAAACATTTGCCATTTTTAGCCGCATTTAATTTTTATTTTATCACAAATAATTTTCAAGCATTTTCTTTGATTATTGAGCAAGACATTTTGTGTATTATTTCCACACAAAGCAGTTATGGAGAGACATATATTGAGCAGAGACACTTTTTTACTACACTCAACCAATCTATCATGCATTAAAACTATTTTAGTGGTTTAATAATTTTTTTCCACAATATACGGAGAAAAAACATTTATTCCTAACAATTCCATCTCCAATTCTTTCTCCTCTGAGAAATTGTTTCTTGTGAACACTACATTCATGCATAATTCTAAAGTAATAATCAACGAGAAAATGCTTGTGTAACTACTAGTACTGCATTTGAGAATTGTAAAGTGATCAATAAGAGAACAGACTTGTATCACGAGTTCGAGTGATCAATAAGAGAATAGTCTATATGATTGTGCTTGATTTTCATATGATGAAGACATAATCTTTCAATCAGTTTATTGAAGTCTGGAGCTGGCATGTCAGTAACTGCTTGTAGTCATTTATTAATTTATGTATCATTGTCATTTTGCTTAGTTTCTTTTGTTACCTATTCTGACATCGGACTCGGACTTCTTTTAAACTGGGTTTTACTGTGCGTATTGCTGTGTGTTTGTTTATTCTACATTGGCTAGAGGTATAGGGGGAGGGTTGAGATCTCACAAATAAAATTGAGAATGGAAATGGGGAATATGTTAAAGAGACAACAACCCGACCGATTTGCGTAATCGAATACAAATCTAGGAAGGAGAAGAACAATCAGTCAGAGAAAAAACAAAAGTCAAATGTTCACTCGTCATGTTTACAAAAAAAAGATCAAACTACATATCGTACAATCACAAAACAATAAAGATTAAAAGATAATGTTACTCAATATTGGTCATCCAAAACGGTTGCTTCGTCAATCTAAAAGCGTTTTATTTATTTTATTCTTTGTTTAGTATCCACTGACATATACAATTCAGATCTAAGTATAGGACTGGTTTTTACTGTCGGTAAACATTTAATGTTTTGTGTGTATGATATTTTTAGATTTAATTTTCAAACCAGGCAGTTATACCTTTGGCACGTTCTTCATGAACTACTTACAAAAATTTGTTTTGTTACAGCACCCCATCCAAAACCTGCCTACCGGCCAGATAGTTTGGCTGATTTGATAGACATTATTAGAAATGCTACACAAAAAGGACAACCTATTAAAGCTGTCGGAACAAATCATTCTTTGGAATGGACTGATATCGAACAAACGCATGGCATTCGAATAGACATGAGGTAATTCTATATTTTACTTTCAATCACATTTATATTATTTTCAAAATTCATATTTAGACGAACGAAACAGAACACTTTTTTTCATATTGTATATACATATATATATATATTGCTTCTATACGAAACCTTATGTGGTTCAACACTTAATTCACAAATTAATACTAGAATTTTAATAAGCCAGTCGAACACGGATGTATAATGGTTTATCTGTCAATTAATCCCACTATCCGTCCGTCCAACTTTCAGACCTAGCACGTCTCGAAATAACTAAAGTTGCCATTAGTTCTAACCACTCTTGAGAAATGTCTAATAATCTGTCATAGAGCTGTTCGAGGCAGCTGTTCCAAACTATTACTGTTCGGGGAGAGAATTGTCAGAATGTGTTCTAGGACAGAACATTTCAAATCTGTTCTCCGGTAGAAACATCCAAATCTCGTGTGGAATTATCAGAAACTGCTCTTGGATAGTACAGTACTGAATGACGTAAATTAACTCCAAATGTTGTAATCACTTGTCCTACGTACAATTTACCTCCATTTCAAATATGCCTGCCGACAAAGCCCTCAACAGTATCGTTTTTGTTTGACGTTAAAAAAACTGTCGAATAAAGGAATTAAGCTTTGACAATTTATTTGAAAACATATATTACCACAACACGTACAAAAGCAGAGATCCCGAATAATCATAGGTCTGTCTTAAATTCCTTGTTGAATTTCATCCAACTACGAAGAACTGGAACTTCCTTCAATGTAATGGATATCCAAATTACACGTTATGTCCTTACAAACAACGTTATAATGATGGGTGTGCTCAAGGCTCCACGAAATCTCTTTCCAAATTATTTATACTTATTATATCAGTAATCGAAACCAGGCTTCAGAGTTACTGTGAAACTATCTTCTCTGGGGAGGGAGAATCAGATCTGTTAGAGTACATACAATCTTGGTTTCTTTCTTCTTGCAATAGTATTAAACATGTGAAGTCTCCATCTCTTACACTAGTAGAAAGTAAAATAACAATAATACCGATCGTTCTAATCTTAAAGAAAGATTGAAAGAATTAGAGCAACTCAGTTTCATAAAAAAAAAAAAAGAATTACGTTTTAACAAATAACTTGTTTTACGAAAGGATAAATCATGTTTTGTAATTCCTACTCTGATTCGAACAAAAGGATTTCCGAAACTGACTCTTGTTTTGTTATTGACAACATATTTTTTTACTTTCGGATGACTTTTTTCATGTAGACCGTCGACATTCTTATGGAAACAAACTGTACTCCTCATCTTGCCGACTTGTTCCTTTTTTCATATGAAGCTGATTTGATATGGGAACAGCCACATCTGGTAGAACATTAAAGAACCATGCAACAACTTTAAAGAGTTGCCTGTTGAAGTGCAAAAAAATCTGCCCCTTTACACGTATATCCAACATACCCTCATTTACCAATGGCAGTATACATTCTTGCCGTTCAACCCGATCGACGCACTTCACAGAACCTACCTATTGCATTGCGTTAATTTGTTTTCGTCCTGCATGTGCATGAAATATTTGTCATTCGACGTAACGACACTCAATCACTTGAATATAACGAATTTTGATTTAAGTTTTGACTCCTTAGTTATAAATTTGAATGCATGCCCATTTGAGTCTCCTTCGAGAAAAATGATGTGATTTCCGGTTACTTCTTGAAATACCATTATATAATTGTAATTTTTCCGATATCATGTTTCATCCATGTTTTCCAAATCCGTTCATTATTTTATTTCGTTGTAAGATTCGCGTACGAAAGTAAACTTGAAAATCATGTATAAATGCTGAAAATATGGTTGAAATTGGTGCAAAAACGAGTGAAACTCGATATATTGGTAACGAAATGTGAAGACAAAATAGTGTTAAATATGAATGATATTAAAAAACAATAAATATGTGTCATATTTTAACGATAGAAACTGCTGATTGTTATATATAATTTCAGTCAATTGAATGATGTCAGCCATATCAACAGAGAAGTCCTGAAAACAGAATTCCAGGGACAGTTCGATGACAGGATGCTCTGCTCTTTTGAAGCAGGGGCCACGATAAAACGTGTTCAAGAATATCTGTGGCCTGTTGAATTTAGGGAAACTAGACATCCAGAGCAGTACAGAGTTTTGCCAAAACAAACTGGTTGCACCAATTTATCTTTGAGTGACACTATAGCAAATGGTGGCCACGAAAATGGTTTCACAAAGTCTATTATTGCAGAAATGGTCTTGTCGATCTGTTTATTGACGGTAAACAAAATCGGTGAAGTTGTACATAAGCACATTGAACCAACAAATGGCATAACCAATCCTGCAGCGTTTGAAAAGAAGTTCAAAGAACGAGTCCTCATTCAGAATGATAATACTTTTCATGCGGCCCTTAATAACATTGGTGGTTTGGGATTTGCTTATTCTTATACTCTTCGTGCTGAAAATGCCTATTATCTAACAGAATACCGTTACATGGTCACGTGGGAGGAAGCACAGAAGGAAATTCCAATGCTATATAACCGAAATATAAATGAACGAGAGCGGAAACCAGGTTCCCTGCACAGTTTCGAATTATTTATAAGTCCGTATCCTATGTTGCATGGAGGTCCAGTCGATGTCATAGTATGTACCTTAGAATATTCAAGCGGTTTACCAGAAGGTAGTCGACCACGCTGGTATATCATACCTCATGAATGGATACGTTTAGGTTTTGTTCGGGCGTGCGATACCTATCCAGATATTATTCCCTTGCTTATGAATAACATTATGCGATGTACAATCACTCAGGAGCCTGTGACTATGAATGCTCCTAAAGCTTTGGATCCTTTATCGGGTTTAAAAGAATCTGGTCAGGTTACCGTAAGCGAATGTGCTATTGAAACGCAAACTCCAGCTGATGTCATCAAAAAGATTCAATCTTTGATAGATCGTTATCAAATTATTCGAAAAGAAAACAAACATCAATTGGCAACTTCTCCCTTTGTTGTGAGGTTCTCCGTGTCATCTGGTGTATATATGCCTATGCAGTACAATCGGCTGTCGATGGTGATAATCAGCAATATGTTAGTAGGAACACCAAATGCTGAAAATACTCTACAGCAGTTTAGAAATTTGACGCAAAACGAATTTAACGGCCTACTTCATTTGAGTATGGTACAAGATGCAGATGTAAACAGCTTGAGACAGATGTATCCAACAAATGAAAATGCTTATAAGGGTCATGTTGCTACTTTCAAACGTGTCATACAGTAACTTGACACAAGAAGGATTTTCAGGAAAACTTTTATCAAAGTTTTTTCCAAAGCAGAATTAAAAATAAATAGTAGTATCTGTTGTACAGTTTAATATACGAATCATATAAAAGACGTAACTTTAAGATAAGTTATTTTTAGTTGTATTTTTTTTAAATCCCTTCCCCTGAAATCACAATAGACCAATCTGGCCCCGACAAACCTTAAACTGTCTAGTTGAGAAAAATAGATATGGCGTTTACGGCCGCAAATCGGCAAAACTATAGATCGGGTAACAGGCATATAATTCTTTTTAACTTTTTAAACGTTGTGCCTATATTTGGTGTAATTTTTTTAAGTTTTGTTATGCTGCTCGCAAAAAGAAGCATCCTTCAGGATAAATGTTGTTTCATATTCTAACGGTCTTTTAAGTTTTGTAAAGATATTTTGTGACTAGGCGGGTTGAGGCGACTAAAATTTAAAAAATGTGTAATATTTCAATTTTTTGTCAGTTGTAGTTGTTATCTTTGATATTCGTCGGACAAAACTGCATAACTCAGATCTATATTGGTCAGCACTGTAGGTTTTTTTACTACCGATTGTTCTTTGTTTCAAGTACTCAATAGTAAAAAAAAATGAAACAAAAATGTAAAATTGGATGCCTTTAGGATATTCAAAATCTGTGTAAAGGAACAAAATGGTAAAGTTTGAATAATTATTATGTACTTTTGATGCAGATGCTATTAATTCACATAATATAATATTATATTATGTGTCTATGATAATTATGTATATGCTGGTGAACTGGTTCGTTATTAGTGCAACGATACTCCTTTAACCAACGAATGTGGACGCCCTTAATGAAAATAGAAATTTCAGGATAAATGTTTTTCATTTGCATGCATGGATCACTTTCAGAAAAATGTCTGTTGGTCCAACCTTTGGTCAAAAATGGTTGCTAGAACTTCAGTTCCCGTATTTACCTTTGGAAAAAATTGCATAAGACTTATTACTATTTTTTTAAACTTCTCTAAAACAAATAAAGATTATTTAATTCAAATATGGCCCTGTCGTCCTCAGGATTTCTAGTTAGGAAAATGCTTGATGACCTTGCCGTTAGTCTAACAATGATATCACCTTGGAACGTAGATTCCCATAATCATTTAAAAAAAAACTTTTGAGACAAAACTTGTCTACGTAACCGATATCTATGTCGACCAACCAAGATGGTTACCGTTACTAAACATAGAAAGTTTGTGGAAATTGTACATTAAAATTTACTTTGAGCTAAATCAATATGCATGTGTGTCATATAGATCTCTCATTTAGAAATATAGCTAATGACTCGGTTGGTCCAATATATATACAAAACGTATATACAACACTGTTATTTGTGCGTGTCACTCTGTCTGCTCTATAAATTCTGTTAATAATGCCAACCAACCGACAAAATTAATTGAACAAAGGAGGGTTATAATCGTATATATTCTGCATTTATTCATCTTAAATGAAATCGGTATATCTTGGTGAAAAAGACCTCGTTCACACTTGAACATTTAGATCGATTTAAACTAGATCAGTTCACTTTAGATCGGTAAGCCCAATGTAAACGCTTTGAATCGATCTTGAATCGGTCTAAACTAAAACACCAAAAGAGGTAGTTTAGTTTGAATCGATCTTAAGTGAACCGATCTAACTTTAAATGTGAACGCAGAGATCGATCTAAACTAGTACGATTGAATCGAAAATAATTTGTGCGCATGTATCATGTGTATGGCAGCAAAATTACACGTACAATTTATAACCAAAGGGCTGGATATTAACGAAAACTATACGAACAGCAGTATCAACATTTGAACTTGTAATTCAAGTGAAACAATAACGTCGTCCATTATTTTTTTGCAAACGTGTGTATCAACACATTAATGTGATTATATATTTCTATTTATACACAGTGTTTACAATTTTACGGATAATAAGGTCAGATCGATTGCATTTTTAAATATATCAGATTAGGCCGATCGAGATCGTTAGGATTAAAGATAACGTGAACGCTAACTGGTTTTATCTAGATCGATTTATAAAAAGCTAGTGTGAACGGGCTCATAGTTCTTCAGTAGACTTTTTTACATTTACCGATACAAGCATGCAGACTGGAAAATGGCTGCTATTAGTAAAGTAAAGGAATAAAAATATTTCACATCACAAATATTTATTAAATCAATAGCTGAACCAGTTTGCACTAGTTTTGACAGAAATACTCCTCGTATAGTACTAAACACGCATGCAATATTTGCCACTGGACATTTAGCAAACAACCAATCAATTAATCTTCCTATAAATATATTTCAGAAACATAAGATCACAGAATTCCTAAGGACAATACAAGTTTAGATAAAACACCGTTCTAAACATTAAGGCATAAAACTTATCCAAATGAAGCTAAGTGGGATTGGTAATTATACAGTGAACTCTTTTAAGGGGGTTTCTTAATTAAAAGGTTGCTCCTTCAGAACCCCTTAATAGGTCATTTTATTAATTTGTTGTCGGGGCAATATAGTTTTACCCTTATCCGTCACTCCGTCATTCCGCAACGATGAGGTTATTTTTGCCGAAATAACGGGCTTTTGACTTTGAAAATTTCATGAAAATAGCAGTTATACGGACTTTTTTTCTAAATGCCATCACATATTGAGCTGATGTTTAGAATGTGAGTCTACTATGATGAGTTACAGATCGGGTTTACGTTTGGTTCCGCTCCGCTGATTTTTGCTGAAATAACGGGCTTTTGCCTTTGAAAATTTAATGAAAATAGCAGTTATACGGACTTTTTCCCTAAACACCTTCACATATTGAGCTGATTTTTAGTATGTGAAAATAAATAGGAAGATGTGGTATGAGTGCCAATGAGACAACTATCCATCCAAGTCACAATGTGTAAAAAGTAAAAATTATAGGTCAAAGTACGGCCTTCAACACGGAGCCTTGGCTCACACCGAATAGCAAGCTATAAAGGGCCCCAAAATGACTAAAGTAAAACAATTCAAACAGGAAAACAACGGTCTAATCTATATAAAAAAATGAGAAATGAGAAACACTTATGAACCACACCAATAAACGACAACCACTGAACAACAGGTTCCTGACTTTGGACAGGTGCATAAAAATGCAGCGGGTTTAAACGTTTTAACAGGCGCCAACCTTCATCCTAACCTGAAACAGTGGTGTAACATTACAACATAAAAAGACACACAATAAAATATCAATTGAAATGACTAAACTCGATCAAAAAGATATTCACAAAAAAAAGTAAATATACACTGAACGAATAAGTTTGATCTATGACACAATAAAAATAAAAAAGATGTATCAATGTCAAAAAGACAACTTTAACCTAGGACAAAATGGCGTTAAATAAAGTAACGTACACAGGTAAATTTAGCCTACTACTAGTATGATGAGTTACAGATTGAGTTTACGTTTGGTTCCGCTCTGCTGATTTTTGCCGATACAACAGGATTTGGACTTTGAACATTTTGTGAAAATATCAGTTATACAGACATTTTTTCTAAACATTTCACATATTGAGCTTTTTTTTTAGTATCTGAGTCTACTATGATGAGTTACAGATCGAGTTTACGTTTGGTTCTGCTATGCTGATTTTTGCCGATACAACGGGCTTTGGACTTTGAACATTTTGTGAAAATAACATTTATACAGACTTTTTTTCTAGACCCTTCACATATTGAGCTGATTTTAGTATGTGAGTCAACTATAATGAGTTACAGACCGAGTTTACGTTTAGTTCTGCTCCATTGATTTTTGCTGAAACTATGGGCTTTGGACTTTGAAAATTTTGTTAAAATAACAGTTATACCGACTTTTTTCTAAACGCCTTCACATATTGAGATGATTTTCAATATGTGAGTCTACTGTTATGAGTTACAGATTGAGTTTACGTCTGGTTTCGCTTCACTGATTTGTGTCAAAATTACGGGCTTTGGACTTTGAAAATTTCGTGAAAATAACAGTAATACGGACTTTCATTCTTTAATTTCCACTCCTAAAAATGGCACACGAGGATAAAAGCTTATGTGAAGGGTTACTGCCAGTCACCAACGTCAAAACCGTAGCACTACGAATATTGTATACGCAGGTTAATTTAGTCCCAACCTAAAGGTAGATCTAAATACCTAAAGGGACCATTGTAATTGAGCATTTATTTGCAATCTTAGTGCAATCTTTCTTGATTATCAAATTAAATAGAATAGCCTGTGATTTACAAGTAAGATTAATTCTAGCAAAAAATTGAGATTAAAATCGACGATGTTATTACATGCAACGTGACTCAGTTGTTGCTAAACATCAAAATTCTGTCATTTTCTATAATTTGCATTTTGTGTCCTTTAATTTTAACTTAAGGTTTCAGATATTCCGTTTTTATCTTTTGATTATCCTCTTTGTATTACGTTGACAATTACCGTTTATTGGAAATATTTAAAATACCATTAACAATCATATCAGGCAAAATGGTAGGTGACTGCAGGTCACATTTACATATAAATATCACCAACTTTTAAAATGTTGTAAGATCTGTTCACGTAGGGTATCATTGATTTACAATTATTCATATGAGAGTCAAAGAGGAATTTGAAGGCAAGACCGTGGACCTGATTTTCGAAGGTATCTTATGACTAACACATGTCCTACGATGGTTTTAGGACATTTCATAGTCGTAAGATGTCTCAAGTTATAATATGTAATAAATTTCGTACACTTAAGACAGCTCGTGATATGACTTATGATGGTCTTATGATTGTCATAAATGTTACAACATCCCATATTTGTTTCTAAGGTATAAGTGTCATTTACTGCATCTTTATTTGCTCATGCAACATGCAGATCCAGGATTTTGAAAAAGGGGGGCCCAAACTAGGCAACGTTTGGAGTGGCATAATATGCTAAAAGTCTATTATACATAAACCATGTATGTAGCTCCATAGGGGGCGAGGCCCTGCCTCTCCTACTAAATCCATTTCTGCCTGCAGCCTCTCTTGCTCTCTTTTCGGAACTGTTTGTTGTGTTGTTTAATCTGCTAAAAAATAAAGATTTTTTTCTTTTCCATGCACTTCGTCATTTAAAATTTGAATCTCCT